AATAGAGACAAAAAAAGAAAGAAATACTCTAATTGCATATGGCAGCTCATGCCTAAAATCCCAGCACTTGGGAGACAGAGGCAGGAGGATCTCATAAATTCAAGGCTAGCCTGGGGTACATAAGTGAATTCAAGGCCACCCTGAACTCCACAGTGAGACCTTGAAAAAAAAAAGTAGTGCTCTGTAACCAAACAGAAGTGTGATTGTAGCATCATCGATAAGTCTGTTGTTCCCTCTTCCCCAGCCCCTGGGCTCTTGAGCTCCAACAACAATCACAGCCAGTCCTCCATGCTGCAGCTGCCACCTGAGCCCAGGGAACTAAGCCCACTCTGCTAGGAGGAGGTGCTGTGTTCCACCCTTGGTCACAGCGCTGTCCCTATAGCTTCAGCCCTGCTTGCTCCCACAGTTTCTCCTCCCCCTGTATCACCTAAACTCGTCCTACTACCCCCCAATCCTACCCATAAATGACTCCGACTCCGCTCAATACTCAACTCCACTCTCCTTTGGAGCACTTCAGGAGGTCGCCCAGAACCCCCAAACTCAGGCTGACTGTGTTCTTTACTGGCTCATTACCGTTTACCAAATAAGAATCTAACCTCGACAGTAAATACTGGCACTAAACTTCTCAGTCAGGTCTTTGGATTCCACTCATTGATTGCCTAGGGTGGCTTTGGGCCCTTGAAGTGGCTCAGTTTCCCTTATTCATCCCCGAAACCCCTTGCCTGGTGTAATTCCCAGCCTTCATTTGTTCTTGGGGGGAATCACGGGGCGGGCAGCACTGGCCAGAGGCTAAGAGCTGGGCCCTTAACTGCAACAAGCACAGTGGAACACAAACTGTCTCCACCATTCCTGAGGGCAGGCCAGCTTTTCCTGTGCTTTTCTTTTTGCAGTCACTGTTGGGGATTGGACCCAGGGTGTTTATGCTGAACTACACCACCTGCCCTTTTTTATTCTTTATTCTGAGAAGGTTCTTGTTAAGAACAAGAACCAGGCTGCCTCTGAACTCACTATGTAGCCCAGACTGGCCTCAAACTTGTGAGGTTCCTCCTACTGAATGCTAGGAGTGCATGTGTGTGGCACCATGCCTGGCTGAAAATGAACTTCTCGATGGGTGCGGTGCTCACTTGTAATCTCAGCACTTGGGAGGCTAAGGTAGCAGGACTACTGGGAATTTGAGGCCAGCCTGGACTACATGGTGAGACCTTGTGTGCACCACCATCCCCACCACATAGAAAACAAGTTCTAAAAGGCAACAAGTTCTAAAAACAAGTTGCAGACGTGGTGGTACAAGCCCGCAACCCCAGCACTTGGGATCCCCAAGAAAATTGGAAAATAGGAAAACTGAGTTTGAGACAGAATTACACAGGTGTTGGGAAGCACTAATTCATAATGGCTAATTTTGCATATTTCCCTATGGGGTAACAGGAAGGATTGGGGTTACTGGTACCACCCATCTGAGACTTCCCATCCATTTTTCTAAGAGATCATCTATGCCTTCTTGAGTCATCTCAGGATCATACCTCAGGTCAAGATACATCTAAGCATAAGATTATTTGCGCCCTCTTGAGTCTGAGTCTTCTGATGAATTGTGATCCTTTACTAGCCCCACCTATCCCTGTAGACACCTAATAAATTTTGGCTGCTTGGAGAGTGGAGGGTCCAATCCAGAGACACTGACTTCCCAGCCATTACTGGAGTACTAGACTTATCTCTGCTTATTTTTCTTGCAGTATTTTTAAGACAAACAATCGGGACTCTTTGCCAGGCTCCCGATACACAGGGAGACTGTTACCAAAACAGCAAAACAGATAAAAACCAGAATCTTAAAATCTGCTCAAAGTACTAAGTTTACTCAGCTGACTTTCATTTCAAATCAGCCACTTATGCAACCAGGAGGTTAATTGTCTCTGTGCTTTATTTTCTATAAAATGAAGATACCAAAAGTGATCTACCTCTAGTGTTTTGAGGATCAAATTAATGCCTGAACAAAACTTGGACCGATACCCAAGGAAACTATTACTGTGCAAGGAAAACTCTCTAGGACACTATGGGATACCTAGAATGCATTCTGTTCATTCACCCATGGTCTTGGGTTTTAACTTTTACTGACTTGGTAAATTTAGTAATGTTGTAATAAAAATAAGCTGGCTGTTTTTTTCCCACTAGTCACTGATGTACAGATTCATGAAGGGAAATTAATAAAGATGGCTTCGTCACTAGGAACTGATGACTGCCTGCTTGTACTCACAGTAGTGGACTGCAACAGGCTGAGCCATTCTTGGCAGGGCAGCATCTACAGAGCAAGTGTGGGATGCATGAATGGTGTTCTGTGTGTGTGTGTGTGTGTGTGTGTGTGTGTGTGTGTGTGTGTGTACAGCAGTACTGGGGACTGAACTGAGGCCTTCACATTGAGCTCCATCCCCAGCCCTTTTTCTACTGAGGCAGGGCCTCCATAAGATGCTTCACTGCCCAGGTGGAGCTCAAACTTTCCATCTTTCTGCCTCAGCCTCCTAGAATGCTGGGATCACAGGTGTGAGCCAGGTCACCTGGCTGAATGGTTTTTTGTCTTTTTTGAGACAGGGTCTCGCTATGCAGTTCAGGCTGGCCTTGAGCTCACTTTATAGCCCAGGCTGGTCTCGAACTCACAATCCTCCCACCTCAGCCTCCTGAGTGCTGGGATTACAAGCGTGCGCCACCACGCCTGGCTCTACCTGGTTAAATGTTAACAGATAACATTTCCTTGTGTTTCCCCACTGAAAGACCTCATACTTGAGGTAACCTCTGCCCACCACCTTCAGAAAGCCCAAGGGGAGTGGTTTCTGTTTCATCAGCTCTGCCCAAGTTTATTGCTCTGCCCCAGGCCTCGGGCTGCTTTCCCTCTAAGCACTCAGTTTATCACCCTAACCACCAGTTTATCACTCTAACAAATGATAGCTGCTGGGCAGAGGACAGATGTCCTGTCTCTTGCATCCTACAAAGAATGTCTGCAAAGGCATGCCACTGGCAGAAATTCTAAGTCAGACATGGCGGGAGGACACCCTGGATCCTTCAGTCTTACTCCCAGCTTCCTGACATACCATGGCCCCTGCCTTACCTGCAGGAGGTCTGAACCTAGCCCCGGTAAATGCCTGCACCTTTGGCAGTACTGAACCCTACACACACAGGTATATAAATTAGACCCAAGGGTGGGCATGTGGCTTAGAGGGAGAGCCACTGCCTACCACATGCCAGGCCCTAGGTTCCAGGCCAGGGACCCCCCTCCCACAAAAACAAAAAGAAGCTGGGCATGGTGGTGCACACCTGTAGCACCAGAGCTCTGAGAGGCTGAGGCAGGAAGATCACAAGCTCAAGGCTGAACCAGAAAACTTATTCCATTACACAAACACAAACACACACACACATGCACGCGTGCGTGCACACACACAGCAGGGCGTATACCTCAGTGAGAAGGCCGAGTTCAACCCCTGATAACACATAAAGAAAATGAGAAAAAAAAATTAAAGACTAGACATGGTAAGGGACTAACAATAACAAAATGGAATTCTAGTCATTTGCTGTAATCAAGCGTGAGGGATTTATGCTGAACTAAGGCTGCATATCATGGCTGAAGCGGAGGACAGAGTTTGAGGCCAGCCTGGGTTATGTGGCAGGACCATTTCAGAATACATTTAGTTGATTGATTTCTGCCATTTTCCACTTCATCCCCTCCCCAGAAGGCTGATAAGCTGAGGTGTCCATCAGTTGTCCCTTATACAATTATACTGGGGGTATAAAACCCTAAAAGACTAAGCATTTTCCCCCGGTGTTGAGGCTGAGCCTGATGGTGCTCTACCCCTGAGCTACAACCCACACATCTGAAGGGCCAGGGGCCCAGACCAGGGCCTTGCACCTACTGCACAAGGGTCCTACTACTGTGCTGCAGTCCTAGCCCTATTTGAGACAAGAGCTCCCTAAATTGCCCAGTTTAGCCTCAAATTAAGTATTCTCCTTCCTCAAACTCCACTGAGGACTAAGGGCTGAAGACATCCAAACAGCTAAATACAGCCAGGTGTCGTGAGTGACACAGACCTGTAATCCCAGTATTTAGGAGGCTGAGGCAGGAAGGTTCGGAGTTGAAGCTAGGCTGCATTACAGGGTAAGACTGTCAAAAACAAAAAAAACCCCAATAAAACCCAAACCACCTCAGAGGTAAGCACATAGGGTTTCTAGAGGTGACTCAGGCCCAGGAGACCTATACCTTCCTTCTCCCAAGCCTTGCCTCTGCACTTGTCACGCTCGCCAGGCTGTGTCTGAATGGGTCTGAGTTTTCAAGTCTGTCTCTTGAATAGTTCTGGTAAACTCCAAACACCCACTGCATCTGTGATACTTAGTCAGAAACATCAGCCAAGCTAGTGCTTTGAAGGATGAGCCCTCCACCCCTGGCACCTGCAGAAACTCCCAGAGGAACAGCTCCAGACTTAGCTGGATCAAGACAGCAGCTCATCACCAGATGCAGAGACAGAACCTCAACAGCTCCATCACCTCACTCCACTGGACTCCTGGCTCCTGCATCTGACATGTTGTGCAGGAGACCAGCTACGCCAGTGTCTGGGCCTTTATTTCTCACCACCCAGACACTGGCAAGCTGTCAGAATTATACTCTAGGGCTTTGTGAAGACAAACTGTTCATTGAATCAAGAACAAATGGTTTAAAGTTAGGCATGGTGATGCATGCCTGTAATCCCAGCTCTCAGGAGGCTGAGGCAGGAAGACGGGCAGGGTTCATGGTCAGCCTGGGCTACACAGTGAGACTGTCTCAAAATAAGGTTGTTTCTTTTTGTACATAAGGAGAGAAAGAGGGGCTGAAGAGAGGATACAGGAAACGGAAGAAAATTAAGATGTATCATGTACAAGTATGAATTCCCTATGATGAATGTGACTATGTTTATCTAAAATGAAGATATAGCACGTAAGTACAAACCCCCTATGATGTTATGTTTCTCTAAAATGCACCAACAAACTTGTTTTTAAACAGTCAATTTTAATAAGATCATCTGGCAACAAACAGTACATCAAAATTTCCTTTTATTGTAACTCAGATTTCTAAGAATCAGAAAATCTATTTATGCTTGGGGTTCATCTTAGACTTTTAAGCTTTTAAAATAGAGTAGATTTGAGACCTACTAGAGCCCTCTGGGTCAATCAAAACGCAAAGTGTGTCGACATCCTTCGTTTGAACTACAGATTGTCTAAGACTCAGGCCTCCACTAACTGTGTATTCTACTCACTCCCTATTCTAGCGTTCTCAGAAGGATCCCATTGATGAGTGACACAAAAGCTGCACGAGCACTTGAAAGGCACGCTTCTTGGTTTATCCTGAAAGAAATAAGACAGATTAACTGGGATATTACATCCAAGAAATGTCATACATAACTCTCAAATCTACTATTTTATTAAGAAATATTTTGGAATAAAGAGTATCAAAATACAAGGCAGAGGGCTGGGGATTTAGCTCAGGTGCACACAAGTGCCTGCTTGGCAAGGGCAAGTTCATGAGTTCGATCCCCAGTACAAAAAACAAGCCAGGCATGATGGTGCACACCTTGTAATCCCAGCTCTCAGGAGTGAATGGGAGGCATCTGCTTAGCATGTGTGAGTGAGGTCCTGAGTGTGCTCTCCAGCACTGGGGGGAAAAAAGAAAACTAAAATAACAGGTACCAAACTGGACATGATGGTGCACTCGGTACCCTGCAATTCCAACACTCTGGGGGGCTGAGTCAGGAAAAATCACCACTTTTAGCCCAGCTGAGCAATTCAGCCACCTAGTGAGACCCCAAAAGTCTCAATAAAATGTAGAAGGGATGGGGGCGGAGCTCAGTGCCAGGCCCAGGCTCCAGCTGCACACCTCCTCCCCCCCAATCAACGTGGACAGAATAGTGGGAGACAGCTCGCCAGTTCCCTCCAGTCTCCAGACAGAGCCCCGAGCACAGCACTTGCCTTGACACCCTTCGGACTCTTGTTTCTCACTATTCCTCTGAGGAACTGCATAAAGAGAAAAAAAACTCATCTGAAACTAGCAAGAAAGTCACACACGAAGACACAGTCAAGGGGTGTCTTGAAGGGCCCGCCCCAGCCCACCTGGGGCTGGCACACTCACCAGCCAGGGCTCGGCCCTGAGCAGCCTACGTATCAGCCGGTCCCTGCGCAGCTCAGACTGCACGGTGCGCACACCGCGCCTGCGCAAGAGGGGAGGCACCCGCCGCAGGTTCGGTTCCTGGCGCCGTCGGTCGCGCCTGTCTTCTCTGTCCTCGCTCTGGTCATCCCGCAGTTGTGGTGGCGACACCTCGAATGGAGTAGGGCGCAGCGCACCAGGATTGAGAGTCAGGTTGCTGAAGTCTGTGACCAGCACTTCTGAGCCCTCTGCAAAAAAGCCGGAGATGCATAGGCACCTGTGAGACCCAGGGTGGCCCGCGAGTCATTACTGGGGTCCTGGGGGGAGGTCGCCATCCCCGGGTGCTGCACCAATGAGGGATATCACTGCAATACCATGGTCTGACATTTAGGGCCCACTGCCAAGGCCCACTGAACGCCTCGCCAGAGTGTGTGTCGGACCTGCACTGGGAATCCAAATGGTTGTCATTCTCTCTTTCTTGGTATTAGATTTCATTCATTGTTTCACTACAGGGTCTCTACAGTTCAGGCTGGCTTTCAACTGGCAGCGATTATCCTGCTGGAACGAGAGGTCTGAGGCCCACACCTGAAGTGCTGGCTGTCTTAAATCCAGCATTTTAAAACTGAGTGTGAGCACCTGTAATCTTGGGCTGAGGCAGGAGGATCCTAAATTCAAGCCCAGCCAGACCCTCTCTCAAAATAAAAAAGGGCAGGAATGTAGCTCAGTACAAAGGCCCTGGGTTCAGGCCCAGACAGGGAGAGAAAACAGGAAACGTTACTTTGGGCAGTAAGGCCCTCTTCCTTTCCTGTTCCTGAGACCCTGTCCACACCTGCTGCACAGCCACGGAACAAAAAGCCTCAGTTTCAAAAGGTCAGTAAAAGGCAGACTGAAGGAGAGAGAGATTGAAGACATGGGTTAACCTTTTCAGGTTAACCTTAATTTTTCTTTCCTACTAAGTTAACTCAAACTCTTGTCAAGACTTGGAGTGGTGGCACGTGTCTGTAACCCCAGCACTAGAGGCTGAGGCAGGCGGATCAGTGTGAGGTGGAGGTCAGTCTGAGTCTGCAGGCACAACCTAGCTCAGGCAGGGGCGGTCAGGCCCACTTCTAGTCCCACAGTGGGTAGTTTGGGTCGTTAACCTGGGGCATCAACCACCGTCCCCCACACCCACCCAGCCCGGCCTGCCTTCTGAGGAACAGTTTCTAATGCAAAAATGAGTTCCCCACAGAAGATCCCAGGGATCTGAGACCTGACCGACAGCTTCCCTGAAAAGTTTTCTAAGAAAGCAGCCATGAGCCGGTGTGCGAAGCAGGCCTGTAATCCCAACCCTCTGGGAGGCAGAGGCAAGAGGATCACAAATCTGAGCCCAATTTGAGCAATCTGAGGATTTAAGGAGACATTATGTCTACAAACAGAAGCAAAACAAAACAAAACCAACCCAGCGCCCCGCGGTCAAGCCCTCACTGCTCATTTACATTACACAGTCCTGCCTGCTGCTTCTTACAAGCAGACACTTTTCACCCTTCTGCCTTTTCTATTAACATTCCAAAGGAGAAAGGCCACTCGACAGCCACTTCGAAAAAGCTACTGGCAATTCTTCAGTTTTTCCCCTTCCTGACCCCACTAACCCACGAGCTCCCCAGGGATCGGCGGTCCCTTTCCAGGCTCTCGGGGCCCTTCAGGTGAGAGGGGACCTGGGGCCCAGGCTAAAGCCACCCCTTCCCAGCCTGTTCACCTGCGTCCCGCGGCGAGGTCTCCTCGTAGGCCATCGGAAGAGGCTGCGGGCTCGGGGTTGGAGACGCAGGCTCCATGGGCTGAGTGCTGAGCTCTCCGGAGCTCGCTACAGTGTGGCGGGGAGGAGCTCCAGGCCCTGAGGCAGACTCACCTCCAAGGCCAAAGCAGACAGAGAAACCAGCTAGTCTCCAAACCCGTAGGGCCTCCTTTTAAAACAGCCCAGATAAGCCCGCCTTCCAGGTATTTTAATGTTAATAGAGGGATGATTAAAGGGTCCACCTGGGTAAGGCAGATGGGCGTGGTGAGGCCTGATAGGATAATTCATCCTCTCTTTGTCTCAGTAATCATATCCCTGTAGGCGGGGTGGTGCATGCTTGTGTAATCCCAGCAATGGGAAGGCTGAGGCAGGAGAGTGGCACATTACAGCCCAGCCTGGGCTCTGCCTCAGTGTACAATGATGATGATTAATAATAACACAATGGGGCTGAGTACGTAAAGAACCTGGGTTCAACCCTCAGTACCACCGAAAGAAGGTAAATAAATACATAATCATATTCAAACTGGGTGTGTGAACCCAACACCCTGGGAGGCTGAGGCAGGAGAATCACAAATTCCAGTTTAACGTGGGCTGGTGACATAGTGAGAGCCTATCTCAAGAATTTTTAAAGAAAAAAAATTTTTTTAGAGACTGGGTCTCACCCTCCTGGAACTATGGAGTAGCCCAGCTGGCCTCCAAATTTGGGGTTACTCTTTTATGCCTCAGCCTCCAAAGGGCTGAGATTATAGGCATGCACCACAAGGGGCTTTACATTTCCTATTTTGAAATAGGTTCTAATTCGCTAAATTGCTCAAGATGGGTTTGAACTTGTGATCCTCCTGCTTCAGCCTCCCAAGTGCTGGACTTAGTTCTGGGCTATCAGGCATCTGGGCTACCAGACCAGGTTTAGGTGTGCATTTTTAAATAAGTATTAATTCTGGGTTGTTTCACAGGCTATAAATTTAATCACAGCTAACATTTCTGAGCAATCAAACTTTATAAATCGGTACTATCTGCACACCAAAGAAATAGCTGGCTGGAGCTCCAGCAGAGCCTCAAAACTGCCCTGGCCGCCTGGGGCAGGTGGGGACCTCCACGCCCCGATGCGCCCCTGGTTCCCCCACTCAGATGCCTCTGCCTTCCTCTTTGGCTGAACGCTAAAAACAGACTCAATTGTTTGTTTTTTGTAATAAACAAAAGCTGAAGATCTGGGATCCAGAAATACGTTAGTGGCTGGGGAAGTGGGTCAGCGGTGGAGCGCTTCAGACCCGAGGTTCAGCCCTAGCACCGAAAATAGAAAAATTAGTGGGGTTCGGGTCCTGCCACAGGACTTGGCCGCGTGGGTCTCGAAGGTGGAGTCCCCCTGGCAGCCAAGCCCAGCAGCACGCGGTTCCCTGGGGTGTACGATGCCCGGCTCACCCAGACCTCGGGATCAGCCCGCAGCTGTTCCTTTGGTGCCAGCGATCGCCACGGCCCCATGCTTTAGTTTTGAAAAACGGAATCAGTTTCTCTTCATCAGTGATAATTTCCAGAATTATAACATACAGCTGGTGGGGGGTTGGGCTGGCTGGTTAGAAGGCAGTGAGGAGAAAGCAGCTGCGAAACGCGCAACTCCTTTAGGAGTCTAAGTCCTCCCGGCATGGGGTGCCCACCTGCGACCCCAACCGCTGGGAGGCAAATGCAGAGGCGTTTCCCCAGCCTGGGGATTAAGTAACATAGCATAGAAAAAAGGAGGTGGAGCCAGCCTATGTCCTGGGTCCCAGTCCTAGTACAAAAAAAAAAAAAGAAAAAAGAAAAAAAGAAAGAAAAACAAAAGAAGGAAAGTGAAAGAAATACTGGGCTCTTTCCCAGACACTAATTAGATAATTTAAAGGAGCAGTTGTTGCCAGGCAAGATGGTACCCCTAGCGTCTTTTTGGAGAGGGTGAAGCAGGAGGATCAGAGCACAAATTGGGGTTCCACCGAAGCAATTTAATGAGACCCCATCAAAACAATTTTTTTTAAAGGACTGGGGATGTAGCTCAGTGTGATGCTCTACCACAACCACCCGAAAAATTTGAAAATAAAAGCCAATTGTGGTGGCACAGTCCAGTAATCACAGCACTCTGGAAGGCTGAGACAGGAGGGTCAAAAATTTGAACCCAGTTTGTAATTTAGTAGCTTAGTGAGACTTTGTCTCAAAAATAAAATCAAAACGAGGGGCAGGGATATACCTAAAACAAACAAAAACAAAACTGAAGACACTAATTTCAATTTCCAGTGCAGGGTGGAACTGGGGGGAATTTAAAGTTTAGGGGTGGGGAGTAGTGGTAGAGCCTTGCCTAGCGTATCCAAGTCCCTGGGTTGGGTCCTTGTACTGCAATATATATATGCAATATATATATATGCAATATATATATATGTATATAAAACTGAGCTATAAGAAAGCAGAACAAAGCTGGACGTGGGAGTGTATGGTTGTGATCTTAGCTACACAGACAAGAGAATCACAAGTCTGAGCCCAGTATGGCAATTGAGGGAGACTGTTTCAAAGCAAAGGACCTGAGGGCTGGAGATGAGCTGACCACAGTAGTGTGGACCTGTAAGCCTAGCACTCTGGTAGGTTGAGGCAGAAGGATTGCAAATTGGAACCCAGGCTGGATGATTTAGCAATTTAACTAGACCCAGTTTCAAAATAAAAATAAACAAAGGCTGGAGGTATAGCTCACTGCAAAGGCCCTGGGTTCCATCTCCAGTACCCCAGCAGTGCAAAACAAAGCAAATGTCTGTGGATGGCTATGGGCCACTGTGGCCTATAGAATAGGCAGGGGCCCACTGGCCCTACTCTTCCCTTTTTTTTTTTTTCATCTTTTTCTTCTTTCTTTCTCTCCTTCCTTTACTCTCTCTCTCTCTCTCTCTCTTTCTGTCCTTTTACAGAAGATGGGATCACAGATATTCAGCCATAGCCTGAGGCAGAAAAAATGGAGAGCTAGGGAAAGCAAAGAAGCCAGGCTTTTGGGAAGGGTCAAAGCCACCCAAGGTCATCTGTCTCTGTTTACACAGTCAGGCCTGTTTGCTGGTCTCTCAATCCATCACTGCCAAATCCTTGAAGATACTGTAAGTCCATAAATTAACCTAGGTGATAAAGAAAATGGGGGCAACCTCATTGATTAACAGATTTATAGGCTTCAAATAATGTTTTGGGGAAAACATGTTTGATCACTCACCTTTTAAAAAAAAAGTTATGCAATGCATTCCCCTAAATTTTTTTTTTTTGTTGTTGTTGTTTATCGGTACCAGGGATCAAACTCATGACTGCCTGCTTACAAGGCAGGCACTTATGCCACTGAGCTAAATCCCCAGCCCCTCCCCTAAAATTTTTTCTGTGTTCAATTATAGTATTTTGTTGGTACATTTGAGGTATGTGATGATCACCTTGCTCCTGGGAGTTTGTACATAACACAGCTTGGTTCGCTTTTTATCCCTTTCCCCTCCTCTTTTTCCCCTCTGATTACTCAGTTTAAAGGAGCCCCCCCTTACCAACACCCTTACCAGCACTCCGAAGGCTGATGCAGGAGGATCCCTGTGATTTGGGAGAGTGTCAGCTTTTTTTGAGGGTTTCACCATATAGTTCAGGCTGACTTTGAACTCATTTTGTATCCTAGGCTGGCCTTGAACTTGCGGCGATCCTCCTGCCTCAGCCTTCTGAGTGCTCTGTTACAGGCAACTGAGCTAGTTAGAAATATAGGCAGTCAGACGGGGCTAGGCCCTCAAAGAAGCCTGGCACAGAGGTCCGGATGTCTGATGATCTTGGAGGAGACACACACCTCTTGCTGTGGGCCAGATCTCAGGACAGAAGGCAAAACAAATGCAACCACACCCTTATGTATAACCCTTAGGGATTTAGTCTTGATCACTTTGAGAAGTCAGGAGTCACCATTCCAATCTAGGGAAGAGTCACTCTTTCTAAAAATGCCCACTCTCTATGTGACTTGCTTTCTCATTTGTCCCTAATGTAATCAATTTTACACAGGTATTAATCTTATTGGCTAAACATAGCAAGTTCCCAGTTTTCTCCCATTTTAGACCTGCCTTACCTCATGCTTTTATTCTATAAAAATCCTGAGAAAATACAGATCTTTGGCAGCCAACTTGTTACCCCTTCTGTCTCTCTCCCCAACAGTAGCTTTCTTTCTCTCAATAAATATATTCTGCTCTTAACCTCCATTGTTCCTAAAATTCATTCTTTAATTTTAGAGAACACGAGCTCATACCGGGCATAAGGTAGGCCAGGAGTTTCATTCCCCTGTATCACTAGGATCACAGGCATTTGCCGCTTACCCAGGTTGCTGTGAAGTTGAGGCCACCCTGGGCTACATAGTGAGTTCAAAGCCAGTCTGATCTACATAGCTACAACCTGTCTCAGAAATCAAAAACAAAAACAAAGTAAAGGGAGGCACCTCCAGGACCCCATGTATTTCGATTCCCAGTGACCCCCCAACACAAGAACTCATAAATGGAGGATCGCCAGGAGTTTGAGGCCTGCCTGAGCTGAGGCTGAGGACAGTGAGACTGTCCAAAAAAAAAAAAAAAAACCTCCACAACCCAGAACACACTGCACCCCTCTCTTAAGCACCCACACTTGTTTTCTGTATGTACTGCTTTGACTCTGCCTGTGTGACTGTCATTGATGTGTGCTGAAATTCTTTTTTTTTAAAACAGCATCTGACTGTGTAGCCCAGGCTGACTTTTAACTCAAGATTGTCCTGCTTCAGCCTCCTGAGTACTGGGTCTTAAATGCTTCCTGTGTGAGGAGAGTGTGCAGCTTTACTCCACAGAGGTGGCCTGGCTACGTGAGCTCACTGTTTGAGAAGACCTGTTGGGCCCAGCTGACAACAGACAGGTCGCCAGTCCTTGGAACCCTGTGTCCTGGGACGCATTGCTACACTTTTATCTCCTCTGGGGTGATAGGAGTTCATTAATGGGTGAAGGACTAAGACTTCACTGGGTTACTGAGGAATTTCAGCTTGGGAGCAGTACTGGTGCTGAGCTTCAGAGATCTGATAAAAATGGGTTAAAGTACATAGTAATGTATCACCACAACTCCTTATCGGTAGCTCTACAACACTTTGGGGTGCATGTGAACCCCAATGGAACAAGCCATGAATGAAAGGATGTAGTGTTTTAGCCAAAGTGCCAGTGATCAT